TGCCAGGACAAGTCCTTGTCCTCCCTGCCGGGACCGCGCGCTCGCTCGCGCGCGCGCCCGATCACGCGGCGCCGCCTTTGTTTGGGTGACCCACGTGGGTCCTCGCCGCGCGTGCCCACGCGCACGCGTGGCCGCCTGCCAGTCGCAGCCACGGGCACAAGCGAGCACAAGCATACACTCCACTGTCACCTCTCTCGGGCGAACTGGCTTGACCGTGACTGCCTGTGGAGACCCGCGCTTGGAGTAGAAATACTTGTCCTGGCATTGCCAAGCTGGACTCAGCACGGCTCCACACTGGGAAAAGGACGTGGAACCTGCACATGGAGGGCAGTGGGCAACTCCTTCCTTCCCCCCAATCAGTACCTAGACAGGAATGGCTCCACACACCTCTAAATGTCACCTTAGCCATAGGAAGCCTACTTCAGCCCTGGCATTACCTTAAGGAAAAGAGATCGTCCAGTAGACACCTCCCCGTTTTGATTCGCCCTTCAAAAGCAAGGGGTGCCAAAGGTCCCAGAAAGGTAACTAATGAACCGGGTAAAGACCACACCCTCCAGAATCCCAGGCCCTAACCTGGTTGGAGGACCAACCAGAAGCACCTTCTGAGGTCTGGCCTAGGAGGCCCTCTGGGTAGGGCAGGAGAAGACTAGCTCAGCATCAGCAGGTAGAGTCAGCACAGTAGACCTGTGCCCACGTGACCTTCCCTACGCTTGCTTTGCGGGCTTTGACGACCTCACCTCCAACCCTCTCAATCCATAACTGTCCCCCAATTTATTATGTCTCAAGCACCCCGGGAGGTTTGAGAGGGTGCTGAAGGACTCCGAAAGGCCTTCCAGACAAGCCTTTGTACCAGGGTCAGGGGGTGGCATCCAGAGGGGCTCCAGTGGGTGAGCTCGCTCTCTGTAGAACGAGAAGCAATGCCCGCGTGTAGCACGACAGGTTTATTCCATGGCTCTTGGCTGGCAGTGTGGGGTGCCCGGCTAAGCTGCCTGCAGGACTTGGCCTTGGCAAGATGAGAGCTACTTTGGGCAGGAACCTCCTCTGAGTCACCTTTGTGAAGCATCCCAGCCCCAACAACCATGCCAATCTTGCTTGTTCCTCCTACCTCTGGCTTTTCCTGCTTCCTCTCTGTCCTCCAGCAAAACAGGATTCTGGTTTCCCCCAAGCACAAGTTCCACTTTCCTGCCTCCAGGATTGTCTGGTCCATATCCTCCCAGGGGGAGCAGCCCCACTCTCACCCTACCCAACCTTCCATGCTAACTTCAAAGTTTCAGCTCCACAGAGCCTGCCTTGACCAAGCTGGGTTAGAAAATGGTTCTAGCTTCCCACGAAGCCAGAGTTCTCAGGAGTTTTCCCCCCACCCATCTCCTACGAATTCAGCTGGGCAGCTTCTACAAGGAAAGGCTCAGTGCGTTCTCGTAGGTATCCCTCCCTGCTGGGGTTAAAGTGTGTCCCAAAGTCCCTGCATTGCAAGCTTAATCCCTAGTACACCCCTGCGGCACGGTGATCACTTTGGGAGGGCTCTGCCCTCAGAAGGGCTTTATGATTGGAGCTGGGTTTACAGTGTAGGCTCTTGATGGAAGATGTGTTGGTTTAAATGAGAATGGCCCCCCATAGACTCATATGTTTGAATGCTTGGTCCCCAGCTGGTGACACTGTTTGGGAAGGATTAGAAGGTGTGGCCTTGCTAAAGGAGGTGTGTCTCTGGGTTTGAGGTTTCAGAAGCCCACATTCCCAGTTAACTTTCTCTCTACCTCATGGCTGTGTCTCAAGATGTAAGCTCTCAGCGACTGCTCCAGCACCATGCCTGCCTGCCTGCTACCATGCTGCCTCTCGTGATAGCTACAGACTAACCCGCGTGAGCCCCAAATTAGACACTTGTCTGTA